GATGCTTAGATTTGGATTTAGGCCTTTTCAAATGGGAATTTGCATTATTTTATTTTAGATTGCAATCGAAAAGAAATGATTAGGGCTTCTAGAATCTATAATATCACCTCAAAAAACAACTGAAAATCACTAAAAAATATTAGGAAAAATGATATGCTTTGCCAGTTTTTTGCGATTCTTTTATACCTATTTTTGAGGTGCTGTTCATTTGCCTTTTCTGAGGTGTGATTATTTTTTTAATGTGTATTTGAGGTGAAATTCGATCATATTTTGTGTGATGTGATTCTAGCTTTTCATGATCTGCTAATAGCTGGGATCTCGTTAATATATTATTCATCTGTTTATTGTTTGACTGCTTTGCTAGTTCTGTAAACTTTTGCATCTTAGGATTTTTCCATGAATATTTTATTCATTTTATCCATGATTTGTTCATCATTAGTGCTCATTTTTTCTTATGCATTTTTTTTTTGAAATTTCTGCCATTGATAAGTTGATCAGTCAATTATTTTATTCCATAATTTTTGTGGCAAGTTATTGCTATTATTATGTGGAATTGTTATGGGTGGACGCTGTGGTTCAAATGAGTGGTTGGATTGAAATTTCTTTTTCTTCCATTTGGTTCTCTGAGAGAAAGTATTGTGTTAATTTCATTCTTTTGATTAGAGTCTGTGTTTCACTTCTAGCTGTCGATATGCTCTACCTGTTTTTTGGGATCTAAATGTTCAGTGAGCGTTGCACGATATACGAACAAACTTCAATCTCAATCATTACATTTATACGATATGCAGTTCTGAAATTTTTGCCCTAAAAGTATTAGAAGGATCTCTAATTGATTTGAATGGATGTTTTCATGCAAATATTTTCATGTAAGGGTCCATAGTTGATTATATGGAATTATACTACTTCATATTGTTCTCCATTTATGTTCATGTTTTTTGCCTCGACTTATAACAAAATATTGTAATGCTTTTAGAATATTTTCATGCCTTGAGTTTCATAAGACTTCCATGGCGAACTTTTGATATGATTATATACTTATTATTTCTGGTGTACTTGTGTGATTGAAATTTATTTTTTTATTGAGGGTTTTTCTCTCTTAAGTTACATACACAGCGGGACTCCTCTCTACTTTATAGAGTAGCCTCAGGTAGCATGTCCTCATGAAGAGGATGTGACCTCTTCAAGGTCCTAACCATTAGCTGCAAGGGATGCTTTCCAATGCTGACATCTATAACTCTAGATTGTCTCTGTTTTAATTAGCCACCTGAGTTCCCATACTTGCAAGTCTAAATTGATAAATGGATAGTTCATTAATGTATTGTGCTAATGGTTGAGTTCCCAAGCATATATCACCTATGATCCTTTGCGTGGATATATGATAAATTTAAATAGCACATATGTGCAGCTGTTGCCGTGTGCCTAATGTGAATGCTTGCATGAGTGGTGTGCAAATGTGTATTGCATATATTTCTGTTTGATTTCCATTTCTTATGTAGATGATTTCTCTTTTTGCAGCGCAAAGTTGTTTTTATTTCCAAACCTTTCTCTTTTTTCTTCTGGTGTACTTGAATCCAGGATATTTGATTTTGCTCTTCTCATAAATGTCTATATTGCTTATAACTTATCTTTTAAAAAAATAGATTATACTAAAACGTTTTGTAATTCTGTTTCTATATTCAGAATTTAGTATTTGAGATCGTGGCATGATGGAACAGAGGATGAGGGCCCATTGTACTCGAAAGACAAACATGTCTAAGAATTAGTGGCACAAAGAAAGGTAAAGAAAACACTTGTTTATGTCTGTTTTAAATTGTATCATTTATACTATTTAATTTCACATCGTATGCTTGTTACCAACTATATATACTCTAAAGTGCTTAAATTATTATAGTATACACTCTAAAGTGCTTTATTTATTATAGGAGAGGCTACAAATTTATATTGATGAGTCATTAAGCGCCATTCGGGCGTGAACGAGAAATTGTAGAAGGACGGGGTTATTGCTACTAATAGAACTGGCAGAGCAACACCCCAGATATATTGATCATCTGTTGATGGTGGCTATGGAGGAAAGGTGGCGTCCCGAAATCAACCGTCCATTTGGCAGTATGTATTGGAGATATGATGTCAACATTGTATGATACACCGCAGATTCACCGACTCAAAGTCACTGGGGATCCTGTGCTGACAAGAGACTGCTAGCCGTAACATACATACTTGAATCATTTGGTCTGAGATTGCCTGGAGGAGGGAAGACTTTTGACACTATAGTTCAGTTGGTTGAGGCAGAATTTTATAGAGTTACCTGAGAATGCGCACATAGGCAGGCAACACTACTTTTTTCCAGTTCGAAGGGCAATGAAGTGCCCAGGAGATACCTAACTTTATTCAAGGATCGTACATCACTTTGGTGGCTCTGCTACCCTATTTTAGGTAATAAATAATAATTTTAATTATTTTCAGTTCTCATTTTTCCACCATGACAATAATTGTTGTTGTGCATGCATCGGCATTTGAGTGTTTTGGAACTCTCCCACCCGATGAAGAAAATAGAATTGTCCGTGTAGGGGTCACTAGAACCGCAATCCACAATATGAACCCACTCCATAACCTTGCCTACTATAGCCAAGATGCTCATGCATGAGAGGGTAATTATAGCTCCATTTACATTGTTTAATGGAAAATTGTTTCATGCAGTGGGGGCCACATTTCTGCATTTACGGTCCCAGAGGTATAAAGTATCAATATTAAAGATGGATGTAAATAGGTAGTCCATCTAAAAATAATTGAAACTAACAGTCGAAATACTTTCTTAATAAAATTGTCATTTTTAATTTTTAAAATTTATATTTATATTTATGGTCTCCTTAATAGAGATTACATATCCTTAACATGGACCTATAGAAACCGTTTCCTTGTTTAATTGTCTTTGTAGGTATATTTAGTATAATTCATAAAATTTCATGTCCTTATATTTGTAGGTGTAATGGGACCCACATGAAGCATAGAAAGACCTCGGCCATGAGGATGATGACGTGGAGTTGGAAGACACAAGCGGTTTGAGGTTCTCATTCTTGAACCGCTATGTTTTCAAAAAAATAAGGAGCGGTCCAAAGATGGGGACCTTAGACCAGCCTAAAACTGAGCTCTGCTCAGTCCAGGGGTCAATCCGAGGTTCCCATCCTCATACTGTTGTTTTTTTGAAAAGAAAAGAAGGATCGGCCCAAGAATTATAACCTCATACCGCTTGGGCACTACCTCTAAAACTTGGGGCACTGCCTTACTAAAGGAAAACACTAAAAAAAAAAAAAAAAAAATACCAAATTCAGTCCGAAGATGATATCCTCAAATCGACGGGTAGTTTTGAAAAAAAAAATATAGTGGGGTGACTGACTTTCTTTGTAATTTCCAGCTATAAGAAAGGCATTTTGTATTTTCTCTATTTTTTTTAAAGTCCTTACGTAAATCGCTCTTTACTCAAACCTTATTAAATTTACCAAACTAATTAGTCCTGTCCCCTGTCATCTCTCACACTTTTTTAATTGTCTCCCAAAATACAAAGATTTTATGATCTCCGAAACCCTAGCCAGCATTTACGGGAGCAAACATGTGAATAGTTCCATGTTTCATTGGATTGCACGTTCTCTAAACAACCCTACGACGACACATTGCTCCAACCAGGGAGGGTTTTTCTCAGCCCTTAAATCAGGGGAAAGCCCTAATCAGGGGAGGGTTTTACAATCGAAGACTTAAAAGCTGCCCATTATATATACAAGGCTCAAACCCACTTTCTAATAAGAGAAGAATAGAGAAATCAACAAAAAATCAGACATGGGTTTTACTGCTTCTTCAATTGCTTACCTTTTTTTCTCTCTAGCTCTTCTAGTGAGAGAAATTGTCCCAGTGTCTGGCGCAGAGGTGTCCCACCACTCGCCACCCCCATCTCACCACCACCACCACCATGGCCACCACCACCACCCTCATTTTCCACCACCCAAATCCGCTTTCAACCATGCTCCACCCCCTCATCCCGTTAAAATCGCTCCCGAGCACCATGCACCACCGCCCAAAATCGCTCCCTTGCACCATGCACCACCCCCTAATACTGCTCCTGTGCATCATGCACCACCCCCCAAGACTGCTCCTGTGAACCACGCACCGCCTCCAAAGTGAGGCATTACAGACTGCATTTGATGGCCATTATCACCCACTACTTTATATTGATTCTGCAATAATGTGAGTGCCTTGGTGTAGATTTTCTATGTTTCTTATTTGTTGGGTTTTAAGTGGTGTTGAATTGCTTCATTGGTCTTCCTTCATGTTCGTGCTGAGTTTCTTGCTGACAGAAGGTGCTCTCAGAGTCTGTGTCCTCAGAGGTCTCTATGAATGTAATGTAATGGTCGTTTAATAAAGTGGGCCGCTGTCTGTGTCTTGAGTGTGTCACTTGAGAATACCTGTTTGTTCGAAGATGATACTCTGATTCTTTTGGTTACTACTATTTTCTTGAACACTACTCTCTCTGTCACTTTATCCTTTTCTATCAATCTTTAATTTATCCCATAACGAGTTATCTTGTCCATTAGGCTCGGAAGAAACTTGCACGCTTTCTCCGAAATATATGCACATATAATTATTAAGTAATGATCATATGAGACCTTCCCACACCCAGACCCCAAATGATCACTATTAAATGCGACACAGATCTCTAAAAAAGTTATCACATGGGTATGGGACTTGACTTTTCGAGAGATTTATACCAAATTTAATAGTGATCATTTGGGTCCTACACACATGGGTGTGGGAGAGGTTCTTACAAGGTCATTTCCCATAATTATTTGACTGCACATCTTTCTAATTCTGGATTATATTTTGATAAAGGGTTTAAAATGAAGGGAAAATACGTTTTATTTGACCGTTATTATGTGATAGTAAAAAAATATGGGATATTTATGCAGAGGTCCTTATCCCCTTATTTTTTATTTTATTTCCACGTTATGCACATCGGACCGCCGTAACCTTTCAATTTATTTTCAAGTTATGCACACTTAAGCTTTCAAAAATTGAAGTCTAAATGCGGTCCGAAGTTATAAACATTAGACCGCCTCAAACCTTAAAAAAAAAAATGACGTTTAAATGCGGTCAGATGTTACTGTTAACGTATGGATATGGATATGTATCATTTCCATACATATCATATCAGATGTTACTGTTAACGTATGGATATGGATATGTATCATATCAATACATATCAGTATAGATATGCATCTGTATGGATGCATATCTCTTGATAAGATTGGGTGTTGTCTATCCATAACCATTGGTATTTATCTTTAACTATTACTAGAACGTATAGATATGGATATGATACATATCAGTATGGATATGCATCTGTATAGATCCATATCTCTTGATAAGATTATGTGGTGTCTATCCATAACCGTTGGTATTTATCTTTAATTTTTATAGGTCGTATATTTATACGGAGTATTGTATATTCTTGATTAATCAATTTAATAGACTTCTACGCAGTAATCTGAAAATTCTAAAACGGTATCAGAGCAATAGGCTCCTCAACCATAGATCTGAGGTGTGAGCTCAGATCTCCATGAGGTTGCTGTGAGGAGCTCAGATCATAGTTTTGTTACGATCCTTCAATAAAACCGTTACTGCATAGTCCCTCACCCGTTAATTTGCTTCACCTGCCTACACCCCTTTGCTTCTCTTTTGTTTCATAGTTTGCATCTAAAAATCATCTCCTAGAGAGAGAAACTGCATTTTGTCACTTTCTTCCCAATTTGCTGAGACCTACTACGTTGAACGCATCAACTCCCTGTGGCGCAAAAACCTTTTTGTCGGTGAAAAATCTTTTGGCAGAGCAGCTGAAGCAGCTTTGTGACAAGGAGTTCAAGTTTGGGTCACTCGTGCTTGAGCAGTTCACTGTCATTGACAAAACCTGTGACCTTATCTAACAGGTGTGGCTAAGGGATTTATATCGAGAGAGACCTTCCTCTCTCTAAGTTTAAGTTTGGTGGGGTTGGGGCTTTGGTTCTTATCATTGTTTTTGGGTTATTGAATTATCTCTTTGAGGGGAAACTAGTGGCCAGATTGCCCTTTTCACCTTCTGGGTTTGTGTAACCTTCTAGTTTTGTGTAAAAGATGAAGCCTTATTTGAAACACGTTCAAGCCACGGCTGACAAATTAGAGGCTCTAAGGCACGAGTCTAAGCGGGAATGGATGGCGATCGGTGTCCTTCCTTTAAGCACCTTGCAATTTTTGAAACCCTCTTTCTTATGTTTGGCCATCCTCTTTCTCCCTACTTCATACTCTGTTGGGCACTTTTGTTGAGCAAAAAGAACACCTCTAAGTTTCTTATTATTCCAAATGCCTGCCTTCATTTGGTAGATGTAAGCCTCTTTACTTGGGTAAATTCCTTCTTTTGTTGGGTATCATCTCTTTCATTCTACACGTGCAAAAGGTGCACCGCTAGGTTCTTTACTATTTTATAAAAGGTAAACCATTGTTGTTGTGCTCAATCTGATTTGTTTATCTGTCAAGTCGTTTTTCAACTCTTTGTTCTGTTTTGGATCTCATAGCTCTATTCGAGGCGTCGATTTATGAGGATCGCTAATTTGCAAAATTCAACTCGTGAAAAATGGCTTATGAAAATGGCCGATCTGCTCTATTTGGAAAATCGCCCCTCTCTTTGTTTTGCCTCTGGATCTTGATCTCAGGGTGATCTGTCTGAACTTTCATCAGCCACTCTGATCTTTTCTGATGATTGAGTTTCCAATTACTCAATCATGTTTGATGATCGTAGAGTTTTCTATTACTCAATCATGTTTGATGATCGTATTTTTGTTATTCGATTATGTCTGTTGATCGAGTTTTTTGTTACTCGATCTCAAATGTTCAGAAGGCTTGCTTTTCTGTTGTGATTGAATTTTTTGTTACTCGATCCCGGATATTCTTGAGACCGTCTGTTCTTGAGGTTGCCGCTTTTCTGTGCATGTTGTTCAAGAAATCTGAGCATAGAGACTATTGCTTCTATCGGTCACGCCATGAACTTGAAGACCTGAAGATCCAACTCGTTCGTTTATACAACTTATTATTTAAACTCCAAAGCATCTAGAGACCATTGCTTCTATCAGTGACGCCATGAACTTGAAGACCTGAAGATCCAACTCGTTCGTTTATGCAACTTATTGTTTAAACTCCAAAGCATCTTGAGTTTGAGATGTTTATACAACTTATTATTCAAACTCTAGATGCTTTGGGTCAAAGCATCTTGAGTTTGAGGGAAGTTGTTAATGTATGGATGTGAATATGTATCATACTGTATTAGTACGGATATCCATCTGTATGGATACATATCTCTTGATAAGATTAGGTGGTGTCTATCCATAACCGTTGGTATTTATCTTTAACTATTACTGGAACATATGTATATGGATATGTATCATACTGATACATATCATCAGTTGATAAGATTAGGTGGTGTCTATTTATAACCGTTGATATTTATCTTTAACTAATACTGGAATATATGGATATACATCTGTATGGATACATATCTCTTGAAAGATTAGGCGGTGTCTATCCATTACCGTTGGTATTTATCTTTAACTATTACTGGAACATATGGATATGGATATGTATCATATTGATATATCTGTATGGATACATATCTTTTGATAATATTAGGTGGTGTCAATTCATAATCATTGGTATTTATCTGTAACTGTTACTGGCCATATATTTATACAGAGTCGTATTGTATATTCTTGATTAATCATAAACCTTCAAAAAATATGTTCGAAATTCTAACAGTTAAAAACGGATCGCCATAAACCTTCAAAAAATGTGGTCGAAATTCTAACAGTTAAAAACGGATCGCCATAAACCTTCAAAAAATGTAGTCATAGGATCACCATAAACCTTAAAAAAAATGTGGAGGTCAGAACGCGTTCCGATGTTAGAAATATCGAACTGCCTTAAACTTTCAAATAATGAAGTCTAAATAGGCCATTGATGTTTCGAAACGGTTTGATGATGAAAAGATTGGACTGGGGGCAAATTTATCAAACGGAGCCATCGAATGAAAAGCTTATGCTCGGTGGTCAACTCGTGACAATATGACTAAAGTTTTCTCATCTATCCATTCGGAAGAATAGCAATTACATGTCTTATACATCGGTGGCACCACAGGTAAAATTTGATTTGATTTAAATAAAATAAAGCCACAAACGATGTTACTCTCTCTTTATCTCCCATTGTTCTGGATAGTTATGCATAGTACTCAACATCTTAACAAATCGAGCCCAAGCTCGAAATCTCATTTCCTCATCCTTTTTTAAATTTATTTATGAAGTTTTCAAGAATTTATCGTTTTTGTAGCTTCCATTAACAATAAAATTTATTAACATTTGTAAAAAAAAATAAAATTTTTTTTTTTCAAGAATTTAGATATTCCTTCATAGAAGCAACACACGCGATGTGGAGAGGCGCTCAAGCCATTTAATTTTTTTTTGTTTGGAACACCTATGAACCGTCGACAGCTTAAATTTTGTCGGGCTTTTCACCATTTTGGATAAAGACCTCCCCTTAACAGTAACATTTTAGGGTGTCCTCGGTAGGCCTTTCGGGTTTGAGCTCAGTGGTAGGCATATCACTTTGGTTGAAGAAAGTGAACGAAGTCCAACTAATATTGAAAAATAAGAAAATTATAAATAATCCCCAAGACTAGATTTGCAATACAAGTTATCCCAATCAAATTCTTTGTCTCACTTCTTACCCCAAAATATATTTTCTTAGCAAATACCCCCCAACTCAAAAATAAGTCTAAAAAACCCTCCCTTACTTTTACCCTCACCTTTCTCTCCTCTTTCCCATGAAAAGGCGGTCCGCCAGTGTAATGTCGGTTCAGTAAATAACAGTGGCGGTCCGGCAATAGGTCCATGCAGTTCGGCACTACCAAAGAGCGGTCCAACAATAGGCCCATGCAGTCCGGCACCACCAAAGAGCGGTCCGGCAATAGGCCCATGCGGTCCAGCAACAGGCCCATGGGTCCAGCAACTGGCCAAAGTGCGGTCCAGTAATGTCAAAGTGCGCTTTGGCACTTTTTTAGTTTTACGGGGTCTGGCAATGTCAAAGAGCGGTCCGACAACCCATGTAAGCCCACGTGAATGTCTGGCCAAAATTAAATTTTTATGTACAAAAAAGGGTATTTTTGTTTAAAAAATGTACCTTTTTTTACTTGAGGGTTATTTGCTAGAAAAGTGTATTTTAGGAGAAATAGTGAGAAAAAAAATTCGGTTGGGGTAACTTGCTTAAAAAGTCTATTCTTGGGTGTTACTTTTAATTTTCCCTTGAAAAATTTGCTTAATTGATTAGGGAATCACAAATCTGGTTGGATTCAATGACTTATTAGAACCCATTTCCTCTTTGGGTAGGCAATACATTTGT